GAGAATGTAAAGATTATGGGCATCCCTGCTGGACATGTAAGTAATAATAAATAAATATAGTAATCAATTACTATTACTAGTAATAGTAATCAATAAACATAGTGATTATTAGGAAGGAGTTGTGGCAACTTATTTTTCTTTTTCTTTCTTTTTTTTTTTTTTTTTGTTTCTTTTTGAGACAGTCTCACTTTGTTGCCCCTGGTAGAGAGCTCTCTCCTCATAGCTCACAGCAACCTCAGATTCTTGGGCTCAAGTGATTCTCTTGCCTCAGCCTCCCAAGTAGGTGGAACTACCGGTGCCCGCCACAATGCCTGGCTACTTTAGACAGGGTCTCGATCTAGCTCAGGCATTTCACCTGTTTGGGCCTACCAGAGTGGTGGGATTACAGGCGTGAGCCACTGAGCCCTGCCAACCTTAATCTTATTTCTAGAAGATATGTAGGAGCTGCAAACCACTGTTAGATTCAGAGCACAAATAGATACTCTTAGCCTTCACAATGTTTTAGAAAAAAGTATTAATTGCTAACATTTTTTCTTTTTGGGGGACAGAGTCCTACTATTTTGCCCATGGTAAAGTGCTATGGTGTTGCAGCTCACAGCAACCTCAAACTCTTGGGCTTAAGCAATTCTCTTGCCTCACCCTCCTAAGTAGCTGGGACTACAGGCACTCACCACAATGCCCAGCTATCTTTTGTTGCAGTTGTCATTGTTTTAACTGGCCCGGGCCGGGCCGAGTTGGAACCGCCAGCCTTGGATGCATGTGACTGGCACCATAACCACCGTGCTACAGGTGCCGAGCCTAATTGCTAACATTTGTAAATGAGGTAATTTCCACTTTTTGGCTGGCAAAAAATGAAATCAGCTATTTTACAAAGCAGCTGTACTGTGACAGGTGGATACTGAACCCTTGCTCACAGTCACACTTTTGTGGAACCTGTGGACTATGGGCATTTATGGAGACTCAAGTTCACTAGCTGTGTGAGTATGGCCCAGTTCCTCAATCTCTGTAAATCTCAATCTTCTCATCTATAAATAAGGATGGGCTGGGTGCCTGGCTCAGCCTGTAATCCCAGCACTTTGAGGGGTTATGATGGGAGGATTGCTTGAGGCCAGGAGTTAAGAGACCAGTCTGGGCAACATAGCAAGACCTCTTTTCATCTTTTTTTTCTTTTATTTCGTTTGAGACAGAAGCTCACTCTGTTGCCCTGAGTAGGTGCCATGGCATCAGCCTAGCTCACAGCAACATCTGTGAGCAAGCAATTCTGGCACAAACAATTCTGTTTCAGCTTTCCAAGTAGCTGGTACTACAGGCACTCACCACAACACCTGGCTAGTTTTTTCTATTTTTTACTAGAGATTGGGTCTTGCTCTTGTTCCAGCTGGTCTTGAACACCTCAGCTCAAGCAATCCACCCATCTCACAGCCTCCCAGAGTGGTAAGATTACAACCATGAGCGACGGAGCCTGGCCTGCAAGATTTTGTTGGGGGGGAGGAGACAGACTCTTACTTTGTTGCCCTTGGCAGAGTGCTGTGGCATCATAGCTCACAACAACCTCAAACTCTTGAGCTCAAGTGATTCTCTTGCCTCTGCCTCCCAAGTAGCTGGGCGCCTGCCTGACTATTTTTAGAGACAGGGTCTCCCTCTGGCTCAGGCTGTTTCTCAAACCCCTGAGCTCAGGTGATCCAGAGTGCTGGGAGTACAGACATGTGTCACCACACCCGGCCCAAGACTTCTTTTCTTTCTTTCTTTTTTTTTTTGTAGAGACAGAGTCTTACTTTTATCGCCCTCAGTAGAGTGCTGTGGCGTCACAGCTCAGAGCAACCTCCAATTCCTGGGCTTAAGAGATTATCTTGCCTCAACCTCCTGAGTAGCTGGGACTACAGGCACCCGCTACAATGCCCAGCTATTTTTTGTTACAATTTGGCCGGGGTCAGGTTTGAACCCACCACCCTCAGTTTATGGGGCCAGTGCCCTACCCACTGAGCCATAAAAAAATGTTTGGGCTCAGCGCCTGTGGCTCAAGTGATTAAGGCGCCAGCCACATACACCTAAGGTGGCGGGTTCGAATCCAGCCTGGGCCCACCAAAAACAACAATGACAGCTGCAACCAAAAAATAGCTGGGTGTTGTGGCGGGTGCCTGTGGTCCCAGCTACTAGGGAGACTGAGGCAG